GGGGAAGGGGGTGTGGGGGAGGGGAGCGAGGAAGGGCGGGGCGGCGGCGGCAGCGGCGGCGGCGGAGGGCCCAGTGCCTGCCGGGAAGGACCCCACCGGCCCGGGTTGCAGTGCAGCGCCGTGGCGCCCCCGCCCGCCTGGCCTGGGGCCGGCCCCGCAGCCCAGTATTGCATTCAGGTCGGATATTTTGCAGGCGAGTTCTCTCTTTTACTAGGTCACACTGCACTCCCCAGAGCACCCAGAGGAAATTCTGACCCACGGGCACCCACTTTTGCATTTTGTTGTTAAAGAACCCCCGGCCCCCTTTCCCGGCCCTCGGGTCAAGTTTGTGAGGGAGCTCGCGGGGTGGGGGAAGCCCTGGGCTCGCAGCAGCCGTGGCCAGGCGTCGGAGGGGGCGGCGCAGACAGGGGGCTGCCGGAGGTAGGCCTGGAAGAACCCCCTCCCCGGCTCTCTCGGCGGGTTTGGGGATGTGAACAGAAGTCTAGGATCTCACATTGGTAGTTAAAGTGCTGTGTTTTGTCTCATTCCATAGAAGGGATCCTGGCGGGCCGAGACACAAGTCGGGAGACCTGATTCTGCCTCTGCCACACCTGAGGCAACTCTCGCAGCCTCTGGGCCCAAGCTCCCTCATCTATAAATAAAGCGGAACTTCCCTAGTGGTGCAGTGGTTAAGAATCCGCCTGCCAATGCAGGGGACACGGGTTCGAGCCCTGGTCTGGGAAGATACCACATGCCGCGGAGCAACTAAGCCCGTGCGCCACAACTACCGAGCCTGCGCTCTAGAGCCCGTGAGCCACAATTACTGAGCCTGCACCCTACAGCCCACGAGCCACAACTACTGAGCCCGTGAGCCACAACTACTGAAGACCACGTGCCTAGAGCCCATGCTCTGCAATAAGAGAAGCCACTGCAATGAGAAGCCCGCGCACCGCAACAGAGTAGCCCCCGCTCGCTGCAACTAGAGAAAGCCCATGCGCAGCAGCCCGAACACAGCAAAAATAAATAAATAAATTAATTTAAAAAACAAAGCGGTTCAAGAAAGGACCTTAAGAGTCGCCCATCAGATTTGAACTTCTGTGTGCAAACTGTTTCCCGAGGACAGCTGAAAGGAAGGTGAAGTCTTGGCATCTCCTCTTTGAAGCTCAGGGTATGTCAAAAATTTAGAATTCCTGAAACGAATTCTGTCTGTTTTTGTTTGTCAAGTAATTTATTGCATGTTTTTGTAATATGGAAAATGAGAATCAGTACCCCTTCCTCCTCTCTCCTATAAGCCTTGCTATGATAGTTGAGAAAACATGTATGTGAACACAGTCTTGAAGTGGATGCTTGTCAAGAGATACACAATAATTATATATATGTATACAACACATACACAGCACACACGTGAATATAATGTTTTCATTGCTACCAGTGCTATTACTTGATCATACTATTTTTATTGCCTGAATCTATCTGATGGTGTCTAGCCTTTATTGCATCTTTCAAGAGCCCCAGTATTTGAGACTTTGAGGTTTTCTGTTTGAAGACTAAGAAGTCATGTTTCCAGGGCCTTTGGAAGAGGAAGGGAAGAAGTTTGCTCTTCTGGTTATTTTTTGTACCACAAATATGGGAAAGAAATGTTGCCTGTGACCACACACACATAACTTGTCTTCTTTGGTCAACATCCCTTCCCTGTGAGAGTGTGTCTAACACTGTAGTGATTTAAAATGAGAGATGCAAGATTCATCTCAAACAGGGGCTTTTGGTATGTTTCAGACAGGTAACATTGTGGACCAGGTAAGTCGCCTTGCAAGTGTAAGGGATTCCATCCTTTATGTGATCCTTTGATATGAGGGTTAAAAGCTGGGCTTCAGTTCAGGCAACGCAGGTTCAGATCTGGGCATTACTTCTTACCAGCTTTGTGCTGGGGTAGATACTTAGCCCTAGAGCCTCAGATTCCTTGCCTCCAAAATAAGAATAACGGCTACCTTGTATATTGTAAGGATTAATTGTGATGGCACATGCATATAGTAAATTTTTAGAAAAGAGCAATAATAATTATTATAGGCCAAGATAATCTGATGGGATTGGATTATTTCTTTCCCCACCACAACCTGTGAAGTGCAACTTCCTAACTTCGTGTAATACTCTACCATTGGTTTTATGAGAGTGGGCTTAGACCTGGTAGCAAACTGAGATGTCTTCATTCCATTTCTTTCTGTGAGGTCTTGAGTTTAAATTGTTGAGGAGGGGGCCTGAGGGAGGGGAAAAGTCATGTTCTTGTTTTTAAAAATGTTAATTTCCAGTTGCCAAACTGCCAGAAGTGAGCCAGAGCTTTTTACTGTACTTGTCACCACCAGCACCCAAGGTGGGGATGGCACACAGAATAGAAAATGGAAAAGTAAGAAGCATGTGCAGTTCTTAAAGCTTCTAGTCTGTGAGTGCCTGCCGCCCTTGCTGGTGTCTTAACCTCCCTGAGCAGCTTATTCATCTTAGTGTCCCCCAGTAGTGTCCAGAGTGAGTGGTCAATAACCGATGTTTGTTGACCACACAGAAATGACAGCGGCACCATCAAGAGAACATGTGCTTTGAGCTGCTTTTCCAAGAATGGAAATGGATTTGCTTTGATCCATTCATGTGACAGGGGCATACTTTGTGAGGGTTAGGAAGGTAATACATGACTACTGAGTTTTTCAGGCAGAACAAGAGGCCTTGTCCCCCTTAGTCAGCACCATACTTACTTAACCCAACCGAATTAGGGCCCAAATGAGTCCAGTGATTATTCAGGGGACCTGAAAAGAGTATGAGGGAAGAAAAAGCAGAAGAAAGTCCTTAAACTAACTGGTTCGCCCCCAGAAACCCTGACTGTACTTTTAGAGAAGTTAGAAGTAGAATGGACTGTTTGATCCTGTTTGACTTTGCTGTGTCTGCTGCCCTTTGTTCTCTTTCTCCTTCTTACCTAAATTGCTACCCGCCCCCATTCTCCACTCGTTCCCTAAAAAGCATTAGAGCACTTGAACGGATGAACTCTTCTGTCTCCTGGTACACCCAGTATCAAAGCACACAGAGGATTCTGTTACGTGTGCTTTGAAGTCAGGTTTTTCTCTCTTAGAATAGAGCAGCTGTGTCCAAGGGGTGGGTGGAGTGGGAGAGAAATATCACAGGTAAAAATTTGGTTCCAAATCTGCAGAAATGCCTGGGGACTAAAAAAAAGCATTTCTTCAGTGTTGTTCTGCTGCTTGAAATAAAGGCCTTGTCTTGGGTGGGCTTTTACCTGTGAGTTCTCTCAATTTCCTTCACTCTCTTTTGAAGGACCCATTCTCACTCTGCAGGTCGTAAGCCCTTAATCTAGTGATCTGAGCGTACCTTCCCAGGGCCTGTGTGGTTGGTTGCCTTGCACGCATTGGAGACAAGATTTGGGGTAAGGCTCAAATGTACTCAAACTTTCAACCAGAACATGTAGTTTGGAAAATGGAGTTTTTCCAACATTTGAATGATTTCAGTAGGCATTGAATAAAGCCCTTAACTTAGGCTAAAGAGACATAGCTGAGACTCAGGTTTGAGGAACACCCTGGAAACCCAACCCAGAATTATAAATTTTTTTTTTTAATAAACCAACGCCAGTTCTTTCCAAGAGAATAGACCATTGTATATCTTAAAGCAAAACAAAAATAAAACAAAAGAAAAAGAAACAGGCTTGGAAGTTGATGTCATTACTCTTAAAGCACATTTTGGGGAAAAGCTGCAATTGACCAAGCCTTCAAATTTCACAGTACACAATTAAAGAAGGAAAGACCAGGTTTTACGTCAATTTGGTATCTAACACTGAACCCAGAGGAATTGTTCTTTATCTCTTTTCTGATGGTTTGATATTCTTAAGCTCAGGTTAGGAAATTAGAAATTCAAGTCTCAGTTTTTTTTTGTGTGTTTTTTTTTTTGAGTTTTGTTGAAGGCCCCTGGAAACCATTCAAATATAGAGAACACTTCGTTTCCCAGCCTACACCTTATGATTGAAGGTTTGGGTCTGAGCCCTACCCCAAATCTTGTCTCTAATAGGAAACTGCTTGGAGAGTTGGGAGGAATTAAGTTCATCTTAGCTAACGACATGGTAAAATAAGTGCTACTGAGAAAATTACAGCTGTATAATTCTAGAATGAACCTTCAAATCATTCTAGCTGACCAGTGAGGAAGCTGAGGACATGCTCACTTGCAGTAGCTAGATGGATTCACCTTAGTGCAGTATTTCACAGGCTACTATGCTTCCAAGGTGCAATTCCCTTGAGAGCCTTTTTCTGTTTCCCTTCCTTCAGCCTTCTGGGGCTGTGGATGATGCATTCCTGGGCCACCACCTCTAAACCCGAAATCCCTACTGTATCCACTAAGGAAAGTACCCAGTCCAGGAACCAACTAGTTTACCTCTG